TATACTGTACTTCCCCTACTCCTGCTTTAGGCTGTACAGTATTCACTCAGGAGCTCCTGCCAATCTCAGTTACTTATTTTAATGCTGAGACTGGAGTGCAGAAGCAAACCCCTGACCCTAAAAATAAAAGGTAAGCTGGAGGGAAGTGTAGTGGTCCACCAGTTTGCTGGAGATTTTAGAACTTTGCATGGTGCCTTCAGTTTCTTTGACTGGGAGGGATCTTTCTGGGTTAGATGACTGCCAATCTATCCAGCTCTAACCATTTGCTCCTTCCTGCCTTTGATTTCAAAGAGAGCCCTGCCTCTCTACTCTGTGTATCCTTTCCCTCTCAAGAGTCTATTGAAGTCTGTTGCTGAAAGCAGTCATGTTTGTCAGTTTCCTGTTTGATCTGTTCATCTGTAAGTCAATGAATTATTTTTATTCTTTCTGTCTCAGAGTGAGTTATTGAGACTGTAAGTGCCAATTAAAGAGAAAAGACTACTTTGAGGGAATTGAAACTATTCTGCTTGGTGAATCACTGTACTTCTACTGCACAGCTAGAGGAATTTTAACCAGAAATTGAAAAAACCTCTGCAACATCATCTACTATACAAAAAGACATAAGGATACAATTCACCAAAGGGTTGGAGGATGTCTTGTACCACAACTTCCCATCCAGCCCAACGTGGCCCATAGATAATGGAAATAATTAAATATTCAAGGTCTCTAGTCCCTATTAACACCTTATAACTCAAAAAATAGTAAGCACATCAGAGAGGAAATGAGATGGGGGCAAGCCTCCAGAGAGTGACAGAAAGCAGGACCAGGGGTGCGGGATGGGGGGAAGAGGCAGTAATATTTTAGAGTCTCCCTACCTCAGCCGAGGTGGTTTTCCTCCCTAGCCCACAGAAGGACTAAAAATCTATTGGCCTCTCTCTTCCCCTCACGTTACTCATGCCCTACCACAGGAGAAGGAAATTCTATCAGGGAAATTCCTGAGGGGTAGCCTGTGCTGTGTCCAAAAGTGACAAAACGAGTATTTAAAGACCACTCAATGCTCTGTTGTTATGGGGTGAGGGAGAGACTCCTGCAGCATGTCTGGAAATGACAGGGCTAAGAGAAAACCCTGGGGGGAAATATGGAAGGAGAAAAAAATGGGAAACTTAAGTTTAACTCCAATATTCAGTCCTGCCAACAGCAAATAGTATTGTTAAATTACTTAGCTGCCAAGGCCCCAGCAGTGTCTCGACACCTCCCCAAACCACCTGTATTGAGCAGTTGGGAGCCGCCATTTTAGACATCCCACAAAGTTCAGGAATGGCAAAGTACCAGAGACACTGTGGCAATTTAAAATGGTGTTTCCAAACCTCCTAGCAAGCCATATAAGAGGAGGCCTGCCAGAGGACATTTTTTGCAGAGGACCTTCTCAAACCCCGAGTTGCCTCTGCTACCTTTGGTGACACATTTCTGGACTAAGCCCTAGTCAGAGTTTAGAAAACTCACTTTTTGGGACAACAGCTCTCAGAATTTTCCTGCCTGCACAGCCCATGGCCATTGTGAAATTCTGGGAATGGCTGTCTTTAAAACTCATTTTTCAGAGCTTGATTTCCCCCCCCCCTTTGGAAGTCTTTCTCCCTCCCATCTCTAATTTTAGATATCGGAAGCCCCTGATCTGCAAGCGTGAGCCCAGACATTACGGCCTTAACAGTTCCCACTTACCGCAGGAGGTGGGGGCAGCGGTAATGGCTCTGGTGCAGCCGCCCCCTGCTCAGGGAAGATGCGCAGGCTGTGCTCCGGGGCTGTCGGGGACGGGTACTCTGAGGGGGCGCTGGGGTGGAGATGGTACTGCGGAGGCAGCCGGGCCTGCGGTGGGGGTGGAGGGTACTGAGCCGGAAACGTCTGGGTCATGGCCTCAGCGGGTGGCACAGCAGCATCTGGACTACCCTGAAAGGAAGAAAAAACAAAGTGTGAGACCGAGCATCACAACCACCAGGAAGACCAAAGCAAAGGAAGGCCCTTAAAAAAAAGGTGAGTGGGACCTGCAGATACAGAACTGGGCAGACAATTTGTCTTCATATCTGCTTTTTCACTCTGAAACACTTCAGTAACCCTTAACCCTTTCTAATATACTGCTGCCATTTCAAGAGGCTCTAGCTTTCTTTTGTGCCAGATCCAATGAATAATAGAATTGCTATGCACCAATCTTCCCTCTGTATCTAACCACCTTGCCCTACAGATATTACCGCAACATTCCTGTGAGGCAGGCTACCGCTATGATCCCTATAATGTTGATCAGAAGCTGGGAAGAGGAATAGACCTGCCCATAGCCATTCGGTGTTCATCCATGGGAAATGAGACCTCGAAGGAGAATTTCCCAGCATATCCTCAATATCCTGAAATAGACCCTTTAAGAATCTGCCAAAAGCTATGAACATCCCTTCACTCTCCAGAATAAAACAGTACCTGAATAAAGTAATTCCTCTCGCCAGGCACAGAAAGACAATTTGAAAAATAATAGAAAGGAAATCAAATAAAATTTGCTTTACGTCTGGATCCATGCATTATAAGGTGCCCAAATGGACCTCCACTATAAAGCTCACAACAAACGCTGGAACGCGTCTGGATCCATGCATTATCAGGTTATTGGAACTTGTGCCCAATTGGCACTATAAAGCTCACAACAAACGCTGGAACCCTGCATCTAATCTTCATGTCCTTAGAAGAAAGAAAAAGACTTCCAGTCCCACTAGAACTTGGTAACTTTAGGATTTTTAGACTATAACTCCCAGGATGCTCCAGCCAGCGTAGCCAGCAGCTGGCTGGGATTCTGGAAGTTGCAGTCTTAAAAAACCCAATGTTTCCAAACTGTAACACAGAGAGAGCTTCCACTCTAGCCTGCTTGCTAAAGTCATCCCTCCCTTTTCTCCTTGAGAACCCAGGAATCAAAGCTCAAAGTGATCCCTGTGCTTTCTAGCATCATCCCTCCCTCAGCATGCAGAACCCAAGAGTCCAAACTCCCGATGCCCAAGAGATGACAATTAGGAAAAGGTCTCAGGGAAAGATCTGGAGGTTCTCACCCACCTACTCCAACAGGCCCCATCCCTTGCCACCTCTCAGAAACTCTTATCAGGGCAGGATGCTTAGAAAGTGGGGGAACCCAGCCCATGCTTCTTTTCACCAAGGAGGACTATAAAGGCATCCCTGGTGCAGTTCTTGCAACCAATGAGGAGAAACGACAACCCCCAGGAACGCTCTCCAATTGGCTACCCTCTTATCTATTCCTTCCCCCTGTCCCCTCGCCTTATTTGGAGTTGCTGGAATGGATGATCTTTTGTCTTTCAGCTGTTTGTGGGCTTTGGGTTGTGGGGGGTGGGAGATAAAAGAAACAAACAGCTGTAGATTTCCCTGGAATGTGCAGTTTGTGAGACAGGCTCAACTTTGCAGCCCATGCACCTGCCCCACCTGTCCAATGGCAGAGGGGGGGGGAATTAATCTCTGAGCCAGCCAAGGGGCTTAATCCTGGAAGGAACAGAACAGAGAATGTAGTGAGAGAAAACTCTCCCATATGTATTGGTACCTCAGTCTAAAAAAGGGCAGATCATGTTCCCACTCAACCTTTTTTTTAAAAGACACAGATGGCTCCTGACACGTACAAAATGTCTTCAATAGTGTACTGCTGTCACTGGTAAGATTACTTAAGTGAGGCTTTAGCTGACCAATTTAGTGAACTAAACTGATTAATGTCAGTTATCAACACATTTGTGTTTGTTTGTTACTTTTTGCCCCATCCTTCCTCCACAGGGCAAAGTGTGTACTGCTTATGTACTGCCCTATGGCGCTTAAATCACTCTCTAGGTGGTTTACAATTTAATTATGTGGGCTACACACTCCCCCGCAACCCTGCAAGCTGGGGACTCAATTTACTGACTTCAGAAGGATGGAAGGTTGAGTAAACCTTGAGCCAGCTACCTGAACCCACTGAGATCAAACTCAGGTCATGGACAGAGTCTTCACTGAAGTATTACAGTTTAATCATTGTGCCACAAGTACAGGGAGCAGCATGCATCTCCCCATCTGCATTTTATTCTCACAACAATCCAGTAAGGTAGGACAGTGCACGAGAGTGCCTAAGTTCACTCAATGTGCATTAAGGTTACAGGGATTTGAATCCAAGCCTCCCCAGTCTCAGATTCTAGCCACTATATTGTCAGATGTCTGTAGAAGGTAGATCTTGGTCTACCAACATGACTGAGCAGATTCTGGCTTCCATTTATTTAAGAACAGCAGCAATTAAATATTTAATTATTCTCCTGTTCTCCTGGCGGGATCAAAGATCAATATCATCTGTTTCAACATATACATCTGAAACAAAGACAAATTGAAAAGAACATGGGTGAATTTTTGTATGTGTAGAAGTGCTATAAAGCTACACTCTGCTCTGACAGTCTGAACAAATTCCTGGGATCAGTTTCTTTAATCTTTTGCACTGGACTCTGGTTAGTGTATCCCAAGGCTTTATGGAACAA